TGTAGCCTTAAACAGCACAATTATTTGTAGTTTTGAATTTTTCTTGTTACAATTTTTTTTGCTTTAAAATTAATTTAAAATTAAATTTAAAAAAATACTGGCACCAAAATAAAATAAAATTTTATATACATGTATGTGCGTATATATTTTGTGTGTGTGTGTTAACAACACTGTACTGTAACAATACTGGCAGGTTAGAATGTAGCCTTAAACAGCACAATTATTTGTAGTTTTGAATTTTTCTTGTTACAATTTTTTTTGCTTTAAAATTAATTTAAAATTAAATTTAAAAAAATACTGGCACCAGCATAAGGTTAAGTCAGCACAACAGCCCCTTGCTTGGGGGTGGGTTAGCATATTTTGTATGGCTAGCATTTTGCATGATTAGACAAAGTTTATTTCTCCCAGAAAAGCGTCCTGCTTTCAGTTTCTTCATTTGTATCTCCAAATTCAAAGTCTTACTTTCTGGCTTGCATAATATAAGATGCCGATCTCTGAATATCTCCAAACAATCCCCTTTTTTGTGCTTTCCCCCCTTAACATTCTTTCTTTTCCTGCTCCCATCTTTTCCAGGTTGGAGCCACACTTGTTAATTTGTTCCGGAGACCCTTCTTCCTCCTGTCTTTTGCGTTGGCAGCGGCTTCCCATTGGCTGAGGCATCTTTGAGGGGGCGGGCCCTCGTGATGTCACAGAGGCAGGGCAGGCAAGAAATTAGCCCGCTGAGGATGAACACTGGAAAGCAAAGGAGGTGGTTATAGGGAGGCATAACCCAGATAATAGTGAACAAACTGCTGGATAGCTCCGTGGCTTAGGTTGGGAGTTCGAATCCCCACGGTGCCGCCTTGTGAGGGCTAGACTTGATGATCCATAGGGTCCCGTCCAGCTCTATGGTTCTAGGGTTATTGAGCTGGTTGTACGGCAACTTACAGCTGGAGAAGAAGCATTTTTCAGCAGATGTGCATGTGGGAAAATACGCCCAACAGCTGCCATCAATCAGGCTATGGGTCACATCCTGCACAGCCTTATTGGATGGGACATAAGTCATTGAGAATTTTTTTTCCAGGCCAATGCTGGTGGGATGGAAAGGTGGCTCCCGAAATCTCCTCAACAGTGAGGGATAAAATGGCTGCTCTAGGGGGGGGAATAATAGGCCAAAGAAAACCCAGGGTTTCCCCGTGAGCAGGAGAGAGATCAATAATGAACATTCAGATATCCTACATTAAATTTAAATCAACTTGACAATGCCTTCCTTTCTATTGGTCTACCTACATTTCCTGTAATCAGAATAATAACCACAACGAGTAGCTTAGCTTATTTCATGCATATTTCCCATACATACAAGGCAAACCTCTTTTCCTTTCTCTCATAACCTGAATGTTTATCCGGCGTACAGCTCGGTTCGGCATGTGTTGCAAATTTGAGACATCTAATCTATAACCCTCTTGTCCTGTGTGAAAAGGAACGCTAATTGAAACGGCTTCCACTTTTGAGGTCCAGAGTTTACGACCTGTTTCAGCCGAGCGTCGGATTCTTATAATCACAAACTCGTCGTGATTTCTTCGTTTCTCATGGGAGATGGAGGTTAGTAAGATCACGACTTAAAAAATGAATCGTCCTGTCGCTGTTTACATTGCAGGCCTGTGCTGTGTCAATTCTTTGTTATCTTTTGGAAGAGGGCAATCATATATTCTGCATCCTGATTAAAACCAGCATGTCTTACCATGGGCTCAGAAATCTTTCCGTTTAGCAGCTGTAGGCTTTACATAAATACTGCCACAACAATCCTATGTCAGAGAATGTGAAATAAAATATCCCTATATATACCACTAGACTATACCTTATTATGGAGAGTAAAGCAAGGATTTCACACTGCTCAATATTACTTACCGTATTTTTCGCACCATAAGACGCACTTTTTCCCCACAAAACAGGGAGGTGGAAAGTCTGTGTGTCTTATGGAGCGAAGGAAACAGATTATATTTTCCTGTTTTCTTGTCCTAAAAAATTGGTGCGTCTTATGGAAAGGTGCGTCTTATGGAGCGAAAAATACGTATCTAGGTAGATTTTTTAAAAAACCTTAACATCTCTGATGTATCAGATCCAAGAACTTCAAGGAGATGAGGTTCTTACAGTTGTAAAATGACAGGAAAGTTTCTACGGTTTCAATATTCTCTACAGCTATGTTTGTATTTCCTTTCTGAGTGTTTACGAAACACTCAAAAGTCTTTCCATTTACATCACTGCATTTCTAAAAATATAGGAAGCAAAGCAAACACCAGCCTTTTATAATCCACATTACGTTGCTTCAGTATTCTGTCTGGCCAGCCACCCAACCAGCTATATACGTACTCATCCTGTAAATGTTGGGATTCCCTGCAAACTTTGACACCTCTTTCTTTAATAATTTTTAAAACACTCAAAAGTCTTTCCATTTACATCACTGCATTTCTAAAAATATAGGAAGCAAAGCAAACACCAGCCTTTTATAATCCACATTACGTTGCTTCAGTATTCTGTCTGGCCAGCCACCCAACCAGCTATATACGTACTCATCCTGTAAATGTTGGGATTCCCTGCACACTTTGACACCTCTTTCTTTAATAATTTTAACAATTTATTTATATGCTGCCATTTCCCCAGGACTGGAATTCAAGGCAGCTTTAGAATAGTCTTAAACACAAGAAACCATCAATACTCAGTGTGGTGTAGTGGACAGAGTGACAGCTTAGAACTCCGGACAACAGGTTTGAATCCCCACTTGGCTATCGAAACTCACCGGAGGATGGAACTGGTAAAAACCATAACCTTAATTATCTCACTTACCTTGAAAGCCCGATTAAGGTCACTCGTAAGTCGATTCGAACTCGATAGCACAGAACAACATCAGAGAGTAAATAAAAGCATTAAAGTATCACAATGCAATTAAAATCAAAGCAACTTTCAGGCATCTGTTCTAGTAAGACTTTAACCTTAAGAATAAAGAGAAATAAAACTGGCATGTCCTCCTAAAACTCTATCCTTGATGGGCTGTCAAGTTTTCAAAGTTGATCCTAAATAAAGGTTTTGCTTTCAAAGGGAGGATAACAAGGAGATGAAAACCGAGCTTCCATTGGCAACGTAAGGACAAATCTGCAATGTTGCTTCTGGATTTGTTTATACCAACATAGCAATGCAACGCAATGAAGTATGACACACTCAAAGTATTAAACGTTCACATTTATTACACATCAGTTCAATGTTAGGTTTTCCCCACAGGTTTGATCAAAGTACACTGGATTCCGTAGCTATTAACTAAAAGTGGTAGATAATTTGCTGCTGCTTCCTTTCTTTGGAAGAAAAAAATCACACAGGAAAGCAAATGGATCAATGGGTTCAAGTATCTGTAAATGGCCTAGTAAGGTGAGGAGGTTTGTATGGATAAATCCTTTCTTTGGAAGAAAAAAATCACACAGAAAAGCAAATGGATCAACGGGTTCAAGTATCTGTAAATGGCCTGTAAAAGGTGAGGAGGTTTGTATGGATAATACTGAATTTTCTGGGGATTTAGCAAAATGACCGGCTTTAAGTCAATGTGTGTTTGGAAAGCAAACATTCTCAGGTCCATAGCAAGCCATGTCAGTTGTGACAGCTGCCTGGAGGCCAAAGATGTTGAGAATGGATAATTTTTTTAAAATGTTTTGAAAATAAATGTCTGAATGTGGATGCTCTGGTAGAAGGAGAGATTAAATTCCATCTGGTGTGATTATAGGGTTAAGTTACATGTCGTTCACACTCTAATAGGAGACTGGATTTGGGATAGGATTGTGTTTTCCTTGTATTAATTTGAGCTTGAAACTGGTTTCCCCCATTATCTTGCTCAACAACTAAAGAAATATGCATTTTAATTGTTTCAGAGTCGCCCACCTTGATTATCTGTGAAACGTCTCTCCACTTTTTGTTGCGCAGTGATTTGATTCTTCACTGCCAGCACCCAAAACTTCTAAATTCCAATACCTTTTCTCTAGCCTCTACTGTTCTTTTGTTTAAAACACTTGTACGCCACCCTCATCTAAGGGTTGAGGGCAATCGACACATATAAACCATACAAGAGAGCACTACAAAAATTAAAAAGCAGCAGGTATCTCCTTGAGAAAGACAAATAATCTTTTTTAAAGAACTGAAATCTGTTTAAATGGCTGGGTAAACATAGGATGTTCGTTTACTGCTTAGCCCTGAGAGAATAGAAATGCTGGCACCTTTTTGGGGGATGTGTGCCATAACTAGGGACCCCCCCAAAAATAAAGGCTCCTAAATAACTGTAGGTTACTGTGTCAGAGGGAAGAGGAGGTACATGTGGAAAAAGGTCCCTACCTGTGATTTCAATCCTGTGTCAGGTCATCAGACCCACAGGCAGTCTTTTGAGTGGCTGCACCCCTAGATATTAGTACCAGTTCCTGTGAACTGGGCTCAGAGGCAAAACGGTAGGATGATGAAGCTTAAGGAGAGCCACAAATGGCTGACATTGGGCTTTTGAGCGAGATATTTGAGGATTCCCAACTCACAATCCACTTATCATCAAATCCACAAGCCCGTGTCAACGAAACTTTGGTGTGTTACAGCGTGCACACAGACACACAAACACACACACAAGTGTGACCTACAGTAGTGGTTCTCAACCTTTTGTCTTTTACCGCACACCTATCCCTCTTAACGAATTCACCACCTGATAAAACAAAATGGCGAGTGGACAATAATGTGCATCCAGGAATTGTTGTTAGATGGCGTATTTGTGGTAGAGGGGAAGAGGGAATAAGGAAAAAGACTGAGCATCCAGAGTTACTACCAGCATACCAGAAGGTCAGAGATGGATCGTACTTTATGCCAGGCAGGGTTGGTAGAAGTTGCCCAATGCGGTAGAGTGGATAGCGCGTTGGTCTAGAACCCAAGTGGCTTGGGTTTGAATGGAGCCATGGACTATCATTGGGATGTGGAATTGGCAAACTGTTCCTTAAACCTCTTACCTTGAAAACCTTAATAGGGTCACTATAAGTCACCTCCAACTTGACGGCACAGAGTAACACCAAAGGGTTGGTAGATGGGATGAAAAAACCCAGCCTTAGATTGGAACTGTGTCCAACCGGTGGTACTTGGTGGTTACTACTGCCATGGAAACCTGAAGGGGAAACAATGGCCAGAATCCTCCTGCTTTACAACAGTGTGTAAAACCACTCATGCAAGCAAGAGATGGTTTGCTGTTTGTCTGTCGCATGCCCGACACTTCTCTTGTTGTGCAATCTGGCGTGCAACTGGTTGCACAATCTAGTACAACCGGTCTCATGGCCCATTGCACCAGCTAGAGGACACATGTTGCATGCAACAGAGGTGTGAATGGCAACCAATGACTTTTAAAAGCCACATCATTCATACCTTATTTCAGAACAGTATTCTCAATGATGATACAAGCTTTGGCAGAATCCTGTCCTGCGTGATGTACATTGCATGTGTGTGCATCTCATGAAATGCACTGCCTTTTGGACAGGGCAAGGAAGATATCTTTCATTGGCTTATTAAAAGTCTTTCTTAACCACTTTTCTGCCCACCAGGGCCTAAAATAAATAAATAAAAATACGTTCAGAAAAAAGACAGGCAACATTTATTAAAACATGTTATACAAAAGAGCAACGTACTCTTCTATAAGAAGAAAACGACAAAACAATAATATCACATAAAGTCATGCTGTACTTTGTTAGGACAACAGTCTTATAGAGATGTCAAATTATAGGTAGAACTCACCGGAGAGCAACAGGATAGGAATTTTAATATTAGAAGTGACGATGCATATAAGGGTAACGTTTTGTAGTGGAAATAAGAATTCACTTCTCTCACATGAAGAGTTATGTTTATTAGGAAAATAGGATGGGATCCAGAAGTGTTTCACTCTAAAAGGATGGGTTTGAGTACAGGATTAGGGAAAGTAGCAGGATCTCACCGAGAATGCAAACTTCAAGCAACGTACAAGAATAGTGAAGCCATCACATCAAAAATGTTAATGTACAAAGACTTTTCCTCCTTTCAAGACTTCGACATCTAAGCCTGATCATTCTAAGTACCTTAATTAATGAAAACGATCTGCTTTTTAAAAAAAAGAATGTGTAGACGTTTACAGGATGCTTTAGCACCCCACTAGCCTACATTAAATTAACATTTTTAAAAAATAGAGACTCTCAGATTTAGAAATAGCATCTCCCCTGAAACATTAAATAACACACAAGATGTGCCGTTCGGAAAAACCAAGATGCCCAGGAAGAGACCTGAGAATAAACATATATACGTTGTGACTCGTGAAGCATGATGGTAGCAAAGCATCAGCAAGGATCCTTCTAAGCTCTCCAAGGTTTGTGGCTGATACGTCTAAAATCCTTTAAGGATCGGGGATAAGACCACCCAAAATCTGTGTCTCCACAAATTCATTTTGAATGCAGGTTATTATCAAGAGCAAGCTATCATGGAGGGAAATCTGCATTGCCACAGTGGCATACATTTCGGGAGAAAGCGGTCAAGATTGAAAGGCTTATGGCAGGCATACCCAAGGCTGTTTCACCCATTCTAGAATAGGAAAAAAAAAATCAGAATTTGGATAAAAAGGTTGTCGTTGAGGTTATTCTACTTGAGCATCATCAGGTGCATATGTTTTCCAAGTAGCAGATATTCATAAAAGCCAACGGACTGAGCAGGATTGCTTGAGGCTACCAACCCTACCCAAGTAAGTCTACGTGGAACCAGAAAAGCAAGCATGTATGCTGGACGATTTAAGTCTTTGGTTGCAGAGCCGGAGGTTGGGTGTTTGATTCCCACTGTGCCTCCGACTTGAGCATCATCAGGTGCATATGTTTTCCAAGTAGCAGATATTCATAAAAGCCAACGGACTGAGCAGGATTGCTTGAGGCTACCAACCCTACCCAAGTAAGTCTACGTGGAACCAGAAAAGCAAGCATGTATGCTGGACGATTTAAGTCTTTGGTTGCAGAGCCGGAGGTTGGGTGTTTGATTCCCACTGTGCCTCCGGGCAGAAGAGCCAGCCTGGGTAGCCTTGGGCAAGTTTCATAACCCCAGGGCACCCCAGACGTTGGGAATGGCCAACCACCTATTGAGTATTCCCTACCCGGGAAACCCTGAAAAAGGTTGCGACTGTGCCTCCGGGCAGAAGAGCCAGCCTGGGTAGCCTTGGGCAAGTTGCATAACCCCAGGGCACCCCAGACGTTGGGAATGGCCAACCACCTATTGAGTATTCCCTACCCGGGAAACCCTGAAAAAGGTTGTGGTAAGTCAGTATTGACTGGATGGTACATGATGATGATGTCTGTGTGTGCAGATGGCTTCCTGCTAGTCTCTGCACTGCCCCGCTTAACAGCAAGAAGTCTTCCCCTAGGGATCAGATGTTCCATTACCAAATGTAAGAAAAGATACTTTGAACATTTCTTTCCTGCCCTACCAAGCTGCTGCTCGTCTCAACTATGCTTTAAATCTCAATTTCATAGAGGCTATGGCATATATGTGCAACTGTTTCACCAATTTCACTGATCTTGATATGTCTTAATGGAGGGATCAAGCTGGCAGGGGAAGGGAATGATCCAGCCTAACAGCAAGAAGTCTTCCCCAAGGGATCAGATGTTCCATTACCAAATGTAAGAAAAGATACTTTGAACATTTCTTTCCTGCCCTACCAAGCTGCTGCTCGTCTCAACTATGCTTTAAATCTCAATTTCATAGAGGCTATGGCATATATGTGCAACTGTTTCACCAATTTCACTGATCTTGATATGTCTTAATGGAGGGATCAAGCTGGCAGGGGAAGGGAAGGGCATGATCCAGCCAGATGTCTTCCTGGGCAGGCCCCAATGGGTTTTTCTGCTCCTTTTCATGATGCTTGTATAGGACGAGGTCCTAATGGATGAAGACGACGAAAGCCTTTTCCTAGCAGGCATGGAAGAAACCCAGACTGGATGTTGAAAGTTGCTTTTCTATCTGTTCCAGTTGCATGACAAATCGGATTCCACCCCAACCCCAGTCCGTGGGGAAAATATTCCCAGTTTGCCTTTTCCTAGCAGGCATGGAAGAAACCCAGCCTGGATGTTGAAAGTTGCTTTTTTATCTGTTCCAGTTGCATGACAAATGGATTCCACCCCAACCCCAGTCCATGGGGAAAACAGCTTTTTCCCAGTTTGTAGGGGAAACTACATTTGCTCAGCTCCTACACACCAGAAAACGATCCATCACATGAAAGCTGGACTAGTAGAAATTCTATAGTATCTTACAGTTGTCTCCTGAACTGTAAGGTACCATAGTCCCAGTTTGTAGGGGAAACTACATTTGCTCAGCTCCTACACACCAGAAAACGATCCATCACATGAAAGCTGGACTAGTAGAAATTCTATAGTACAATTGTCTCCTGAACTGTAAGGTACCACAGAATGGCTGATCAGGGCATCAACTGAAGACCCAACGTGATTTTTCGAACATCATGACCTCTGGACACCAAGCGAACAGCACTGCATGCTAAAGAAAGCATCTGCCAGGCAAATTTATTTGGTTGGGCCGATCAGGGCATCAACTGAAGACCCGACGTGATTTTTCGAACATCTTGACCTCTGGACACCAAGCGAACAGCACTGCATGCTAAAGAAAGCATCTGCCAGGTAAAACTATTTATTTGGTTTTGATGCGGCTTAAACTGACTGTTCCCGGTGGTTTAACTAAATTCCCAATCCCAGCTGTGTTAGAGGCAGGGCATGCTCCTGGGCATTCTTTCCTCCCTTAGACAAAATAAAATAAAAATAAAACAAAAATCCTTTTGAGTTTCAAAAAGGAAGGGGGAAAAGGGGGTAGGTGGGGTGAGTGCAGATGGCATGATAGAAATTTATAGCCCCACCTCTTATTGGGCTATCTACTAGTTGAGGAGCAGCTTGAAACAAACTTGTAGACTGCAACTGCTTCCATCTAAGCAGCGAACCTGGCCTCTACATCATCAGCCAAGTGAATCCGGGACATTAATAACAGCATATACGTTTGGAAAGCTTGCTGTTTGTTTGTGTTTCCTTTATATTCTTAACGGCCGAGAGCTTAAAAGTGCGAACCTGGCCTCTACATCGTCAGCCAAGTGAATCCGGGACATTAATAACAGCATATACGTTTGGAAAGCTTGCTGTTTGTTTGTTTTTGTTTGCTTTATATTCTTAATGGCCGAGAGCTTAAAAGCAGCACCTCTTCCTGCATTTGTATAGTAGGAAAGAAAGGGCAGTTGTGATCGTTGGGATGTGGCAAGATCTAAATTCCAATCCTTAAGGGGTTAATATATATTTGTTATAAATGAAATCAACTTCACCTGGAAATATGACCTAGCTTAGAGCCAATCCTGTGTTTGACAAACTGATTGGTAGTTTTAACTTAGCGCTATTTTGGTTGGGCAATGAGTTCTGTTTCTCTTTCCGGTAAAGCTCTACAAAACGGGTTAATTGCTTTTACCACCTTTTTTGCCATTTTGCTTTCGGAATGTTTTGCTCATCAACTTCTTAGAAAAAATATGCAGTTTTAGCAGCCTGTTGTTTTACTAGAAATGTCCGGTTTCCCCCTTTTCCTAATAGACTTTGATAAAGATAGTCTTATTGCCGTACTTTTGTCTCTGTGCCTTCAATTTTTTTCACCACGACGTCAACTCTGGATCTTTTCCCGCTGTTGCTATGATCTATTTTCCTTTTCTAAACTCAGTCCAAAGAAGTTTGCAAACAATTTTTTTTTAAAAAAATGGCTTTATGGGTAATTCTAAGGCAGTAAGGACTTTTTTTCCCAAAAATTGGTTTATTTCAAAGACACAAAACGAAAAGCAGACCCTTAGGATCGTAGTTTTTTGCTACAGAGACCCCAGTACTCCTGTTTCTGTAAACATAAAAATCTCCCCAAACCAAGCTTCTTGCTATTATAGAAATCCAAAAGGTTTAAAAATAAACAAGCAAGACAAACTAGGCAAACAACACAAATAAGAAACAAAAAAGCAGGAATATATATCTTTTTCTTTAGTTCTATTTAAAAAAAACACATTTTATAAAGGGCAATTTTTTTTTCTGTTTAAATACAAAGTGCTTCTATACATTTCGCAGGCTACAGTGTTAGCAAAGAAATCCCTGCTGAGCTACCTTCAGTACTAGGGGGGTCCAGGCTGGTCACAGTTGCCGCCGGGCGAGGGCCCTGTTAAAGTGAACGGCGTAAAGGGAACAGCAGACATTCGTCACCACCCGAATGCGTGATGATGTGCCTATGGCCAGCAGGAGATATGTGGGACCCATAATGACAGCCCCACATCTGAAAGACTACCCGAGCCATAGGGCGGTGAGAGAGTCTGGAAAGGGTGGGACATTGGATCAGTTGGGGGCAAGCTGACAATACTTTTTTCTTCCCCCTTTCCAAACGTCTTAAGAGGAATTTGTAATGCTACCTTCCTCGTCAACCCAATCCAGATTCTGCACCAGGCGTTCTGATTTCACCCAGTCTTCTGAAAAGGCTGCTTAAGCTAAGTCATGAAGGGACTTAGCTTCAGGAAGAGTCATTCCCCTTGCGTGCACATACCACGGTTGGAAATACAAGGTCTGTTAACTCTTCTCCACCCCTTTCCGCCCTGCCTTGTCTTTTCTGTTTACAAGCTGCTGTGTGGAAATTGGGGGGGGGGGAAACGACCCTAGAAAAAAAACCCTTAGCACAATCCCATCGCCCTGGCCCACATGGCAGATCTACAGCACCATCTAAGGCAACGGAGACCATGTTTTCCTTCCCATCTAACTAAATAGCAGCACCGACGCTTCCATCATTCCTACGTACCTCTGTCTTGTGCATTCACCCTACAGCCGGGGTGAGGAAAGGAGGGTTGGGTGGGCGGGTAGGAAAGAAAATAGTTATTTAAATCACCTTTACAAAAAAAAAGTGTAACCACTTCCGGTCACAGAAAAGAATCCAGTGTTTCAACAGTCATCCTCTGCAGAGATCAAAAATCCTAACAGTAATCCAGAGGTGCTTCAAGTTTGGAGACATCCGCTACCGATAAAGCCTCCAGCAAAAGCTGTTCTGGTTTTGCTTCCTTGCTGAGCGGCTTCTTTAAGGAGGTCAGTACCATAAGCTTACTCTGTGAACCCTAATGTGGATTTTAAAAATATCAGTAGATCGCATTGTGTTTGTCAAGTGCAAGGTCGAAAACGGGACAAATGTCCACTCCAAGCTGCAAGGGCCGGCCAACAGCGCTCTATAATCCTACTGGGGAGCAAAGGTGCATCAGCACAAAGTGATGTCTTGTCTTGCTTTCCGTAATGGAATGGGATTGATTTATACTCTTGTCTCTAAAGCGTCTGCCCCAATACAGCCAAGCGCTTTTACAAAGTTAAAAAAAACCTGTGAAGCCGACGTTTTCGGCCAAACCAAACAGAAGCAGCCTGCGGGACTCAAAGTCCGAGGGTTCGAAAAGCAGTCGCCGGCACCCTGGACGTTGCCTAACCACTCGCGCTTAGAAATCTAGGCGCCCTTTGGTTCTGGAGAAGGAACCGCTCGTCCATCTGTTGGATTGTTTTAATTCCGAGAACCGCCAAACTGAAGCGATACAGTGAAAGAACATAGCCGGCCTAACTGAGGAAATGTAAGGATTTGTGTGGGCATCACTCACTGAAACCGAAGTAGTTGAATGGAGGGGGGAAGCAACTGAGATGAACAGAAAATGAGAACGTCCCTCCGTATCACTCCGACAAGACTCCCAAGTGCTGTCAAAACACCCCAATATATATATATATTTATAAATAAATAAAAGCAATTTGATTCATACCAAAAAAAAAAGCCATCACTCCGGCTACCTCCCTCATTTTGCAAACTCGGCAGCACTGTAAGAGCTTCTTGGTGATCAAAACCATCTTCTTGAACCAGCAGGGACTCCTAACCTGTTCTACAAAATTTTATTTTAAATCTTCAGAACCTCGAAACTAGTACGCCGCACACACGGTGCAGAGTCATGCTGTTCCCTTGGCTAAACCAGTAACGTGATCTTTCTCCTTCCCCATACACTTCCCTGTTTTTTTCTCCCCCTTCAGTTCATCTCGGCCGCGTTTTGCTCCACCTTACAGGCCTGGTACGACTTGGAACACGAGGTCACGTGCCGGTGAAAACTGTCCCGCCACATAAACCTCTTCCCACAGATGTTGCACTCGTAAGGCTTGATGCCCGTGTGGATTTTCATGTGGCCCACCAGGTGGTGCTTCATTTTGAACTTTTTGCCGCACACCCCGCAACCGTAGGGCCGGAGACCGAGGTGCATGCCCATGTGGCGATCCCGCTGACTCTTATGGGTGAAGCTTTTGCCACACTGGCAGGGGTAAAGCTTGTCGGCGGTCGAAAACCCAGAAAGGGCATTTTCTTCTTTGATCCCCGAAGCGAGCTCCATGCTTTCCCCGTAGCTGGCCGTCTCCTGCCTCTGCAGGCTCAGGGCCCCGTCCGACCGATCGCCGGAAAACTCTTCCATGGAAGAGCCGTAAAAGTCTACTTGCTCATCGTAGGTGCTTTCTTGGCCTTGCTCACCAAACTCCCTCGCCAGCTTTTTCTCGGTGACACGGAGATCTTCTGGAATGGAAGTCTGGACGGTACGGTCTCCCTGGACGACGTTGATGGACTCGGAGACCTGGTGTTCATCGTAAGGGCCGTGCACCTCCAGCCCTTCACAGTCTTGCACGAACCTCTCCGTTTTCACATGGATCCAGCGCTTGTGGGACATAATGCTGGGCTTGCTGTAAAGGGGCCGGGCGTACTGATACTCCGCACTATCACTAGCCCCTTCTTCTCCATCCTGGCTGGTCATCCCCGTGCTCAATCGGTCATGCTCCGTCGAGGAGTTGCTGGGAAGATATTCCTGTTCCGTCAGCTGAGACAAGAGCTCATCTTTCGAGCTTTCTTCTTCATTCTCCCCGTCCCTCAGCTCCTGCACTTTGTGGAAGTCCGTCTGCCCGGTGGACCCGAGTTCAAAACTCTCCACCAGGCCATTGTAGTTACTGCTGCTGGGGGACTGATGGTCGTTCGCACGGTTCAGCTTCTGACAAAGAACGGAAGGGTTCCCCTCCAGCACTTCGGTGCATTTGTCCACCACGTGCCACATCTGGAGGAAACTCGCCGCCGTGAGATAGCTGACGATCTCCGGGGCGGGCATGACCAGCCGTCCCGTGTAGGTGGACAGAAGGATGTTCTCAAACACCCGAGGGTTCATGACGTCGGGCAGGACGATCCGGCGGCTATTCTTCAAGAGCACCTGGTCGCAGAAGTACGGAGAGCTGGCCGCCAAGACGGCTTTATGGGCTCGGAAGAGGTGGCCCTGGACAATGATGGAGACGTCACACAGCTGCCCTTGCTGGCGCTGCTGGTTCAGCTTCTGTAGGATAGTGCTGGAGAAGTTGGGGAACTCCACTCTGAAGGAACTGGTCCCAGGCTCCATTTCATCAGCCGACTGCAAGAGAAGACGAGACGGGTTTCAAAACAAAAATAGCGGGGCCGTTGGGTTTGCGAACAAATCAAGCGCTCTAAGACATCCTCTGGCGGGCAAATGCTTTTCCTAGCCTAATCCACCCATCACAGCGAGGGGCTCATACCCCCAGCTACTGGCAGTCACTAGCCTCCTGGTTTAGCTTTTAAATCTTTGGCTTGGTGATCGTACCACCAACGGAACTCAAGAGCCAAACTGTCTATGGACAAAGGAGCTGAAGAGCAAAAACGAAAAGCCACAAGGATAAGAGTTTCACAATAACTGAATTCGGCACGTTGCTGGCAAGGAACAGAGGAAACAGACAGAATGCAGAAGAGCTACCACGTGTGTCCCTCACATCTGCCTGTGGTTCGGGTGCCGGCTGATCAGACGGCTCTTCCGGGATATAATAAACCTGGTGGGAAATAAGTGGAGGGGTATAGATTCTTCATCTTTGTGATAAGCTGCTGAGACCACAGACGCTGGTGGCAAGAAGCCCCAACATGGCAACATACAGTTATATTGAACGTCCCCTTTTATAAGGCACTTTAAAAAAAGCAAAGCAAATAGCAAAGTGCACTACTTACATACTGCCCCAAAGTGTTTAGAGCTCTTTTTGGGCAGTTTACAACTTAAGTATGGAGTTCGCACGTTCCCCCCCCCTTCCTGCGACCTGGCTACTCAATTTACTGACCTGAGCCAGTGAACAAACTCAGGATCCTAAGCAGCGTCTTGACTGCAGCTGAACCACTGCGCCATGAGGCTCTTTTTTAAAAAGACAGTTTTAAGCTGCGACCTGGCTACTCAATTTACTGACCTCGAAATGATGGAAGGTAGAGTCCACCTTGAAGGGTCTACCTGAGCCAGCGATCAAACTCAGGATCCTAAGCAGTGTCTTGACTGCAGCTGAACCACTGCACCACGAAGCTCTTTTTAAAAAAGACAGTTTTAACATACGGATTAAATGGTTTTCAATGCATTCCGATGGGAAATGCAGATTCAACATAAGAACTTTTCAACTTGAGAACCACCTTCCAATATGGATTAAGTTCTTAAGTAGAGACCCCACTGTACTGCCCCAAAGTGTTTAGAGCTCTTTTTGGGCAGTTTACAACTTAAGTATGGAGTTCGCACGTTCCCCCCCCCTTCCTGCGACCTGGCTACTCAATTTACTGACCTGAGCCAGTGAACAAACTCAGGATCCTAAGCAGCGTCTTGACTGCAGCTGAACCACTGCGCCATGAGGCTCTTTTTTAAAAAGACAGTTTTAAGCTTTGTTTTATTCAGTGCTTTCAAATTTAGGTTTACAAAGGCCAAACAATTCTAAGGCGAGCTTCCGGAGTGTCAGCCACCAAACGTTTCAAGGAAGAAAGCAACCAACCAACCTTGAGGGCAAATAATGGGTTGCCAAGCCGATCCTACCCTGAACCCCAAGCAGTATTTATTTAACATTACAGACGGGGACTAGATGGCTCATTAAAACGTTGCTGGACTACACCGCTCATCAGCTTTAGCCAGCAGAATGAGGAGGACAGGAAGGGCATTCCAGTAAAATGTGGAGGTTTTGGAGTAGGGTGTCTGCAGCTAGGCCTTGCAGTTGGGTGGAAACGCCCACGAGGAAATATAAACTTTGAATAACGGGAGCAAAAAAAAAAAAAAGATGTGGTATCTTACTGAGGCATAGTCCAGGGCAGCTCAAAGCTGGGCTGGTTTGGAACCTGCCAGAGCATGTCCTCTGGGAGGAAGGAACTTGGCTTCTGTTGAAGAAGCTGCCGTTACTACGGCAATGGCAACACGGATGCATCTGGAGGGAAGGCTTGGAAAAGTCTTCTCTCGCGGGGAGGTAAAGGTAAAGGTTCCCCTTGACAATTTTTGTCCAGTCGTGTTCGACTCTAGGGGGCGGTGCTCATGCCCGTTTCCAAGCCATAGAGCCAGCGTTTGTCCGAAGACAATCTTCCGTGGTCACATGGCCAGTGCGACTTAGACACGGAATGCTGTTACCTTCCCACTGAGGTGGTCCCTATTTATCTACTCGCATTTGCATGCTTTCGAACCGCTAGGTTGGCGGGAGCTGGGACAAGCGACGGGAGCTCCCTCCGTCGCGTGGATTCGATCTTACGACTGCTTGGTCTTCTGACCCTGCAGCACAGGCTTCTGCGGTTTAGCCCACAGTGCCACCACGTCCCACTCTCTCGCGGGGAAAGAGTCCCAAAACATTTTGAAAAGCTCGGAGAGAGAGAAAGAAAGAAAAGAGAGAGAGAAATAGTAGACTAAATAGAAAGAAATAGAGAGAAAGAAAGATAAAGAGAGAAGACGAAATAGAAAGAATAGGGAGAATGATTATTATTATTATTATTATTATTATTATTATTAAAAAATGCCAGGCAGAGTCACTTCAAAATTCTAAAATCATTGACTGGTATTGTACTATATAACAGATACAAATCGTAACCAAAAAACCCTAAGTAAGTATCTGTTAAATATTGGCACAGAATGTATGTTGTTCCCAATGTTGCTGCTTTTTGTAGCTCTGGTGGTGTTCTTTCTGTTACCATCATTCTTCTTCTTTTGGAAAAGCATGGGCTGTTGGGCTTGCCTCGTCACAGCATTTCATTATTTCACGATTTTCGGTGAGATTTCAAGTTTTGCGCTCACGTTGTTCCAGTAGCTTTGCCGCAGCCTGTCCTGGTCTTCCAGCCCTGTAGCCCCTGAGTCACTAGATGACCTGGGCAACGACCGATCCAGTACGGATCTCTGTTTATTCCCTCTCATCAGAACTGATGGCTGGTGGACACAGTGGGTCTCCCACTGGCTTGGGAGACCCTTCAGCATAGCTCTCAATCGCATTGAAGCGCACAAGACCCTCTGCCTCAACAAGGCCTTGTGTCCATGGAGGGATTGTTGCTGTTATAGAAGTGCAGTAATGGAAAGGGGGACCCTCAAGATCATCCAGTCTACCCCTGTCCAGGAGGCACAGTGGGGGAATTGAACTCTGAACCTCTGGCTTCCCAGCCAGATGCCTAAACTACCAAGCTATCTGGCAGTTTCCAAAGAGTCGTTTTAAAACCACAGCTAAAAAATGAATTCATCCAAATCCCAGCCGGCCACAAGACGTGGTTTGCGATTCTGATGGCTTTTCTTAGAGAATAAGCCAAATGCAAATGGAGAAGTGTACTATTACGCTATTAGTCATAACGGTCTACAGAATCTCCCATTCCGGGTCTGCGCCAGACATGGAACTCAGAAAGAATGGCAGTTGTTGATTTTATGTCTCGTTGGAGGGATGCCCAGAGGCATCTTGTGGATCACAGTGGCATGCTGGGAATGGAGAAGACAAGTCATTCGGTTCCTCTTAAATTTACAGCTGAATTGATCATCAACTGCACAAACAGGAACATTACGAAGCAGGTGAAGCGCAATTCCTTGGAAGCTCCCAGGATTCCACTTTTAAGTAGGTTGCATTTCAATGCCCCTCTCAATTAACAAGAAAACACGTTTTCAAAACTGGCAATAAAACATCATATTGGGTTATGTTTTAAATGAGACACAGCATACTTCCTAAGATGCATGGAATCCATGATTATTTATTTATACCCCGCCCATCTAGTCAATTGACTACTCTGTTCTCCATCGTCCTAGAGTGCAGGACAAGTAATAAGCATTTCAATGCCCCTCTCAATTAACAAGAAAACACGTTTTCAAAACTGGCAATAAAACATCATATTGGGTTATGTTTTAAATGAGACACAGCATACTTCCTAAGATGCATGGAATCCATGATTATTTATTTATACCCCGCCCATCTAGTCAATTGACTACTCTGTTCTCCATCGTCCTAGAGTGCAGGACAAGTAATAACGGTCTCAAGTTCTCCATCATCCTAGAGTGCAGGACAAGTAATAGCGGTCTCAAGCTACAGGAGGCCAGATCTAGGCTGGAAAAAAAACATCTCAACTGTTAGAGCAGTACGACAACAGAAACCATGGCCTCGGGAGGTGGCGAGCGCTCCAACACTAGAAGCATCCAATAGAGCAGGGGGTTAGACCTGATAGCCTTACAGGCCCCTTCCAACTCAATGATTCTATGAGATCCAAGTTCAAACTGCATTCAAGGAGACTTTCTCAGCTTAAGTGTGAAAGCAATGCAATCTTAACTAAGCCCCTCCAACTTCACATGCAGGAGAAGCCCTGATGGATCACACCGAAGATTTATTTGATCGAGAAGCGAGCCCAACGGAAGAGGAAGGTTAAGGGGCCAGGACAAGAAACCAAGGAGGAAACCTCAAAAGTGTGGAGGCCTCTGTTTGTTAAAGCTCAGGGTGTTTTCAGAGGCAATGAAACGAGCTCCTTCAGAGGCACACTATGTGATAAAACCTAATACCAAATAAAAGCTGCTTTATCACATGGCGTGTGATAAACTTTAAGCTGTGGTTTCACAGCCTCGAGGAAGAGTTTCTTGACTTGACAGCCCTTCAGGTTCCAACCAATTCATGCATTCACAACGCTGACACTATCCTTCCCCCCCCCACACCCCATTTGCAACTTTTTAAGACCCGATGACCCTGAGAAGTCACGGAGGAGCTGGCAACCGCAAGTCATGATTGCCAAGCGTTGCCAATTTGGCTGGTGAAAAGGACCCCTGGCTCCAAGGTTGAGGTCATTGAGGTCAACAGTGTCTGTTCGCAAACAATGACAATAAATAAATAAATAAACTACCCTCAAGGGAATCCCGGCAAAGAGGCATCTCTCCCATCATCCTGCTATCCGATTCTTTTATCTGGAGATGCCCAAGACTCCAACTGGTGACCTTCTGCATGCTCCTGACTACTGAACTAGAGGATTCGCAGATAGACCATCCCAGATCATGAAGGCTCCATTTCATCTCTGAGGGCGAGTGGCTCCTCCCTTCCATTTTCAAAACCAGCTCATCCCATTACAATCACACCGTTCATAGAAATTCATACGGATGACACAAAGTGGGGGCGGACTCTTCCTTATTGCTCATCCTGTGTGCACTCACCCAACCCTGCAAACTTCTAACCTTGGTGATAGAACTCCTGTGTTTGGAAACGGTCTATCTCATTTTTGCTTGATCACAGCCACCCGAATGCTTCCTCCCTCCTTCTGGTAAATTCTGGCTGGCCAAACAGGGGTGAGAACCTTTGGACCTTCAGATATCTGGCTCAGAATCCTTCAGTTCCACCCAGCATGGCCAAAGAGAAGGAATGCGGAGAACTATAACCCAGAAACCCATAACACAACCCCAATGTTGATTATGCACTTCTGCTACCTATCAGCCTAAAACATTTTTCCCAGGAGGGAAGAACAGCAAACCATCCCTCTATCACTTCAAACTCAACCTGCATTCTTCCTCAGCCGACTCAGGCTACTTTGCTAGGCGAGGAAAGCCGAATGCGAAACCACCTTTCTTCACCCCGCCACGAATCATAAAACTTCTTTAAGAAAATTTTTTTAAAAGTTATTCAATGCCCTTTGGTTTGTAGGTTTAAATATTGCCTTTCAGCGATGTTAACCACTGTTGTACGCACGTTGTTTCCAACTTTAAATATTGCCTTTCGTTGTTGTAAGCCGCCTTGAGTCCTTTCCAAGGAGAAAGGCAGGTTAAAAATACTGTAAATAAATAAATAGATCGATACAGATTATGGAACCCAGCACAGAATGGACTTTCGCTTCCAACCTTCCTTGCTGCTGAGCTCTGTGATGCCCTCCATCTTGATTATGCTCCCTATCTGTGCCTGTGGATCCTTTTTTTTTTTGCCCCCTTTTTTTTCTCTCCTGGATTTTTCGGGGTGGGGTGGGGGAGAATTCCCTCTCACCCCCTTCTTTCCCGTGTGTGTGTGTGTGTGTGTGTGTTGTGCCTGCTGCTAGTGGCCTCAAGGAAGAGAGAAGACCTTCTTGCCGACCAGGGGTGCTCCACCCCGCTCGCCACCCTGAAAACAGGACTCGGGGGTGGTAGACTGCTCCTGTCCAGGGAAGCTCTACTGAACGCTACAGAGCAAATGTCACTTCTTCCCTCCTCCTCCTCTCTCCATTCCCTCACCAGGTCCCAAGTTGGGGCCCCTTCCAGACCATGGGCCCCCCCAGGCCCCAAAGCAGCCCCCAACCCACTGCCTTCGACTCAGCCTCAGCTCTCTCTTGCCCCCCCCAGGCACACCAAGAGGGGGTGCCCCCCCTTACCTGTCCGGAGAAGGAGGGGAGCCTCAACGCGGGGGTGGGACGGGGGCTGGAGGCCCTTTCCACCCCCCTCACATGGTGGGCGGCCTCCCGGGTCTCCCTCTCCCTCCTCCGCCACTTCTCGCCTCCACCAAACAGGCAGGCAGCTCGCCAAACCCGGAAGTGCGAGTCGCTTCCTTCTTCCCGTCGGCCCCCGCGCGAGCGGGCGGGCGCCGGCTTCCGGGTCATGGCGTAGTGGTTGAGGAGGGAACCATAGAGCGGAGCGGTTGAAGGGGAGGGAAACCATAGAGCGGAAGTCGGGCGGGCGCCCAGAGAGTCCCCTGGGTGGAATTTTTTTTTAAGCCGGTTTTGAGGAGGCGGGGATTACAACTCCCATCATCCAAAAGCCAGCACGATCAATGGCCCCTGCAGGCTGGGGATTATGGGAGTTGTAGTCAACGAAAAAAAAATGCATATTTCCCAAAGCTGTGGTTTTAGCATTGGTTCTAGCTTTATTGATTTATTTAAAATTATTATTTTTATCCCTCCTTTTTTCCTTAAAAAAAGGATCAAAGTGATATTTCCCAAAGCTGTGTTTTTTTTAGCATTGGTTCTAGCTTTATTGATTCATTTAAAATTATTTTTTTATCCCGCCTTTTTTCTTTAAAAAAAGGATCCATCATTAAAAGACCATATTTAAAGCTAAAAAAAAATCAATAAATACAGACATCTTTAAGCAGTTTTGTTGAAACAAAGGAACATTTTATTGTTTACATTAGGAAGAACCACCTTCAGAACACGGCCAAAGAGCCCAGAAAAATCCACAACAAGGATAACATTTTATTCCTTATTTGTTTGTTTGTTTATCTTACCCTGCCTTCCTTTTTTAAAAAGGGCCCAAGGCGGCTTACAACGTCAAAATAAAGTATTTAAACCTTAAAACAACAACAATAATAATAAAAACAGAAGCATTGAAGCAAAACATTTCGGTTTCTGCCTTCTTCAGTTCCTTTGACGGAAGTAACATACCATTTATTTGTTTGTTTACCACACCAATTAGGGATAAACATAATTCAGGATGATTTGTGTCCAGAGTGAGACAAATATAAAACAGATCAAAATGTAATACAGTAAAACAAACACCACACATATTCAATATGCGGCCATCAAATGCGTATGCCTGTATGTGATGATGATAACCGTATGTGCTGTCCGATAGCTCCGGGACATAGAGTGACTCTTTCTGGGGTTCTTAGGTACAGAGTATTCAGACGTGGTTCACCACCGCCTTTCCCCGCGGGTGTTTGTGCGCTGTGCCGCTTGCCCACAACTGTCGCGGTTTAGTGTGTCTCCCGAGAGGCACAGTGGGAATCGAACTCCCAACTTCTAGTGCTCCGGCCCAGTTCTCTCACCTCGAGCAGACGCATCAACGAGAATTTGTGCGGGGACAATCTTGGGGCAAAAAAAGAAAAAAAGCTGAACAAAAGATACCACCACATTTTAGCTTATAATTTACGGCCACTCAAGCGAAAGCAAAGCGTGCTGTTTATATACGGCTCCATTTGGGCTTAAAGCACCCTCTGGGTGGCTTACAATTCGATTAGGCACATTGCGCTCCCCGCCACCCAGCGAGTGAGCTGTATACTCAATTCACCAACCTCGGAAGGATCGAAGGCGGAGTCAACTTTGAGCCGGCTACCCGGGCCTGGGATCAAACTCAGATCTGGAAGCCCAGATTGTCCTAAATTTCATCCCTAGGCTGGAAGTCACCCGCCCTATTCTGAGGACAAGATGGCCAAACCCATGAGCATGGTGCATGCATGCAAAATACATGTCCTTGGGCTTAGCTGCCAGATGGGCAGTATATAAATAAAATAAAATAAAATAAATTGACAATCTCCTGCTGTGGCATGGTAGCTGCCTGTAAGGTCCCATTCCCTTTCCTTCCTTCCTTCCTTCCTTCCTTCCTTCCTTCCTTCTTTGATCTGCTCAGCTTCCAGACTCTTCCTGCCCTCAGTCTAGGGGATCTGAATTCGAACTTGATTCATCACCGATTTGAGGAATATGCTCAAAGATCCGGGCGTACAGAAGTGTTCAAGGAACGTCGCAGGCGTTGTCTCAGCTGAATTCGAACTTGATTCATCACCGACTTGAGGAGTTTGCTCAAAGATCCGGGCGCACGGAAGTGTTCAAGGAACGCCGCAGGAGTGTTTTCTGTCAGTTGAAAGCCAGGCCTTGATCTCTCTCCAGCGGCGTTGGGATCCTGCGCACCTTTGGAAGTTCGCTCGTCGGCTCGTTTGCTGCGAGGCCAAATCCACGGTCTCGCCCGGGAGGTGCCTTGATCATGTGCGTGAGGAGAACACCATCCAGATGCAACACTTGATATTCACACAAACACATACACACACCAAGCAACTGGGGTCTCCCGTGTGGTTAATTCATGACACAGCACGCAAAATTCAGGCTCTAAATCCTGCCTGTCGACCCATTAATCGTTTTCCTAAGTTAGATGAATCATAACTGCAAAAAAAAAAAATGCTTTGAAGCTAAGACCACACATCTGTCTGGTTCAACGTATTGTTTCTAGCTTAGAAACCTCTGAAGAGTTTGTGATCTTGGCCTGCAGACTGGGTGGCCGTACTTTACAGAGGGCAATCCTCCACTTCAGGGGTTGCCAGATGTTCTTGGGCTGCAACTCCCAGACACCTTCACCACTAGCTACGCTGGATAGGATTTCTGGGAGTTTTAGGCCAAGAACATCTGGGGACCCAAGGTTGGGAACCACCTCTACTTAAAAGAGAGAAGAGTCCCCAAGCTTAAAGCTTCTGGTGCTTGAAAGTTGTCCATTTCCTGGTTTGAAGATTAAGAATGCCACAAAATCAAGAGAGCAAGAAAACAGAGTTTGGTGATGTTTATGGTCATAGGCCTCACACTCCAGCTGTTATCATTCTTACATCATCATCATTGTTGTTGTTGTCAAGTTGATTCCAATTTATTGCAGGGTTTCCTGGGCATAAAATACAGTGGTGCCTCGCTAGACGATTGCCTCACAGATGAGGAAATCTCTAGACGATGAGTTTTTGCGAGCGCTATAGCGCTTCGCAAACCGGCTTTCCCTATGGGCGATTTTCGATTCGGTCCATGGTTCACAAGACGCTTTTCCTCCCAGGACCGATTTTTCGCTAGATGATGATTTTGACAGCTTCGCTAAACAGGTGTTTTCGGCCCCGTTGTTCACTAGACGCTGATCTAAATAGCTGATTGGCGGTTCGCAAAGTGGCTTTCCTATGGGCGATCTTCGCTGGACGACGACCTTTCCCCATTGGAACGCATTAAATGGAGTTCAGTGCATTCCAATGGGGACTTGTGCTTCACTAAACGATGTTTTCACAATACAGCAATTTTGACAGAATGAATTAACATCGTTTAGCGAGGCACCACTGTACTCAGAAGTTGCTTAGCCATTCTTTCTTCTAGTGCTCTACCAGGAGTGTGCAGCTTACTCAAGGCTACACAGAATTAGCCCTTCTGGGGGAATCCAGCTCCCGATTCATGTACTCCAACTCATGGAGCCATCCAACCAGCTTCCACTCTTGCTTTGGGTTTTCTCCCCAAACACAAAATCAATACAGTAGATGGCGCTGAAGCCTAATGCAGTCCCAGTCATCGCTGGAAACTTCTTATCACCCAAGATGACCAATATTCTTAGAAAGCGCAGGGCAGCCGAAGGTTGTGTATGAGTAAATAATCGTTGGATTAAAGAATTGCAGTTGTAGTGGGGGGAAATCCGCCAAAATCCTGCTCGTTTTGATCATTCCCCCTCTCTCATTTTACAGAAAGGAACTATAAAAATAACTAAAAAGTTACACTCACCCCACAAGTTATTCCTCACTATGTTACAATTGCAATGGAATGAAATTAGCCCTCTTAGCTGTTGGAACAAGAAAAAAAAATTAGAAGTAATTAGTTATTTGGAATACAGTTACAGTAATTCCACCAGCAAAATATGTACTGTAGCGCTTCTGCAAGAGAATGTATTTTAAAAGTTTACATTGCTTTCAGTTCAGGTCAGAGGAGACAAGGAAAAGAGAGGGGACAAAATAAATAAATTAAATAAATTAAATGCGTCAAAGCCTTCCTTCCTTCCTGTTCCTACACCTTATTTGCAAACAAGGGAGACATGAACCCTTGCAAAATTATGCCGCGACCTCTCCATAACTGTGTGAAACACAAAACAGGGTTTTAAAATTAACAAAACATGCTTCGTATTTGTTTAATATTTAACGCACCTTGGCTATTTCCAGTTTGAATACTGCGGTGTAAAAGGTTTAGTGGAGGGGCCATTTACTGTATTTGTTGCCGTGTTGGGGTGTTAAGGAGAATCAAGAGGACAATTTTCTGTCGCTTTTGCTACCTATTAAATGCTCCGTTCTTGAAGAAGGATGACTCCTGGATTTCCCATCCAACATGGATCTACGAGCTTTAACCATCCAGTTCTATCACCCAAGAAGTGGCCCGTTCTCTGGCTTTGGCCCCAAGACTCCACATTTTGGAGATCCATTGCAAGTTGGCCAGGGTCTCTACTTCAGAGCGAACTGCAATCCGTAGTGGTTTTGGAGGCAGCAGTTGGGAGTTCGATTCCCCCCTGGTCCTTCTTGATAGGGGCTAGACTTGATGATCCCTAGAGTTCCCCTTCCAGCTCTGCAGTTCTAAGATCTAAGTCAGAAGCCGTTACCTGGATAGCTTCTGTAAAGTGCCAACTTATACCCAGAGGATGTTGACCTTCCCTGCCTCCCTTGGTCCGATAAGGTTTAGAATACAACCGCCGTTGAAAGCCATGCATCTGTGGGAGAAATTGGTCTTGTGTTAGTAATTGCACAGTATTTCTTTTTCACTGTATTTTTTCAGGAAAGATACCACTGTGGGTATCCATCCATCCATCCATCCATCCATCCATCCATCCATCCTTCCTTCCTTCCTTCCTTCCTTCCTTCCTTCCTTCCTT